CGGTTCTTTTTTAGTTGGCTGTGCATCCTGCATCATCAACCCGGAACTAAAGTTCGATTCAGTTCGATTTGTGAACCGCCTCAACCGGTTACTTCCTGAGAACTGGCTCAAAAGAACGATTCATTCAAGAACCTAACATCACCACTTGAAAGTGCTTCAGATAGAATATCACCTAAGAGCATTGAAAGACCTTAATGAAGTGACTTTTTCCTGCAGTAAATGGCAGGAAAGCTAAAACCTGTCCAGTTCTATACAGGCTTTAAGAGCTTACTTTTTTCTTATCAGCCAACAACTAGGAATAGCTTTGTAGGTGCAGGTTATGAGAGAGTTATGACCACTGGATAATTTTGTAATTGATAAATGTAGTTCGAAGGTTTTCTGATCCTAAAAGCTCAAACCTTTAGCAAGAACATTGTGAATGCTTCATATGCAGTCTTCTTAAAGCGGTAGTTCACCAATTCACAAATTTAATTCACAAATTCATTATTTACTCATCCTCATGTCATTCCAAATCTGACTTTCTTTCTTCTTTGGAACACAAAAGTAGATATTTAAAAGAATGCTGGTAATCAAACCCTTTTAGTGACCATTGACTTCCATAAAAACAAAACAAACACAAAACTGAGAGATTCTTCAAAATCTTTTATTTTATGTTCTTAAAGTTATACTGTTTTAGAACGACATGAGGGTGAGTAAATGATTTTCATTTTGGGCATTAATGATTAGCTTTTACAATCAGCAAGAAAAAATATATTCACAACCCATTTTAATTATGAAATGTGATACATTTCTGAGCAAAAAGGGATATTTAGAAGAAATAAATGTAGGCCTGTTTGTTGTTACATTTTTTATATTTTGTGTTAATCTGAATTGATTGGAATGTGAAAAGTGGTGGGAGAGGAGGGGTTAAAAATTAGAGGACTTGAAAAATAAGAGGACTTGATGATGTCAGTGAATTGGACATTTGTTTCAGAGGTGGAGCATATTTTTTAATGTTGTGTGTGTGTGTGTGTTTATTGATGAAACTTTTTTCTCCCATTGAAGATAATATTAAAAGCTAAAAACCTGTGTCAGTTTAGATTTTATTTTGCCATTTTTTCATGAGATCCAATTTAAGGAAAGTCTTATTTTTGTAGAATTCGTTTGCATCTGCGTCTGTGTAACGTTCCACTCAACTATCATTATCACTATTCCTAACTGACAGCTACACAAGCTGTTTGAACACACTCTTCACACACTTATCTGTGATTTTCATTCTCCCACTGGATTTGTCTCTCTCTACATGCAGCAGGTACAATAGGTCTAAAACTCAAATCTAATGTTTGAGATTTGAAGATCTGAACTTATGCCCTAACTTTCTCTCTCCCCCTCTCTCTCTCTCTCACACACATACACACACACACACACACACACACACACACACACACACTGTATGCATATGAGTTTACACACACACACACACACACACACAGTCCAATGTGAAACCTGTTGGCAGGGAAAAGCACTACAGTTTGGAGTGGGTGGGTGTTGCAGTGGTGATGCTGCCGTTTGTGAAGTCTCTTGAGAGTCAATTCAAATGTTTCAGACAGAATGCAAAAAATAGCAAATTAATGCCCCTGAAGAGTACCCACCCACTGGAGTCATGCCCTCGCTTAAAATACATCGTCCGTCCACACACATACACAAAAATAAATAAATAAAATTTCAGGGCTGTGTGGTGCGGTTTGGGCCAGGTGGAGGGAGTTTGGAGTGTTGAGGTATTTATTATTGTTCGCTTGAAGCGAACTTGCTCCGTGCAAATGCAAATTGAATCAAAATGCAGGGCTGAAACTCTGACGCTGTGGGAAACAAATCCTCTGCTAGTAGAGAATTGTGCTATTGAAATTAAAATTCTAGTGATTTTTAATGGCGTAAAATATTACACAACAATGCGAAAACATTATGAAATGGGCTATTTTGGTGTAGTGCCACTCACGGTCGCCGTGATTTTGCCAAGTAAGACATGTTCCTGGATCAACATCTTTTGTTGATCCTGGATCAACATTACTGTCCAAAAATATAGACTAAACCCAATCCCTACCCCTAAACCTAACCCTACCCATAATTTATTCCTAAAACCAGTGTGAAATGATAGCTGATTAACAAGGGTGTAGAAGCACTTAACCCTGATTGTAAGCCTAAAACAGACATTTCCTGAAAAGTTATCTCTCAATTCTGATTCGGTCAGCTGCCACTCACACGGGCCGACCAAACCAGTGCGGCTCTCCGACGCCTCAATGCTTGTTGCTTCTAATGTGGCGATATGTTTATAGGCTACCACCTGCATAATTGCTGTTTGAAACCTGTGTGATTTAATAACAACATCTGTATTTAATCTACCACAGCAGGGGCTGTCATTGGCATTGCTAATTATTGTTTGGAGACGTCTGCTGTGTCAGATATGTAATAGGATTAGTGATATGCCACCTGGTCAGCAGGTTTCTCATAAACAGTCTATACTGTAGGTAGTTAATCAGCTCAAAACCTTTTAACTCTTATTAGCCTTTATGTAATGTTTCTGATTACATTCTCCGAAAAAAGGTACAGAGTTGTCACTGGGATGGTACCTTAAGACACAAAAGCTACAAAAATCAGTTTTTACCTTTTTGCCTTTTGATGCCTAAATGGTACGAATTATAACATATTAGTACTTTAAAAGTACATTTTAGTACTTTTTGAAAGAGTACAGCCCCAGTGGCAGTTTACTTTTTATACCTAAATTATTTGTCATTAGATGATCATTTATTGCATTATTTCTTGATCACATTATCTGAAATTGGGTATGTTTACATGCAATCATTTAAAAATGAATCCAATCTGATTACAGATTCAGAAAAAACATTTATGAACCCCAAATTCTGCAATACGATTTACATATTTGTTTACATCAGCATTACACATATTCCAATCAAAAGTTAGTAGTGCCAGAGAAAGCTAAATGTCGTTTTTGACTTTTTGAGAATTTTAATAAATCCACTGACCAGTTAATAAGACAATAATAAGACAGTAAATAAACATACGCATGTTCGTATGATGTAAAACATATATAAACATACACATCATGGCACATGGTATTTTTTAATCCATTTGAGAAAATAGTTTTAAGTATTTAAGTATTCACATGTTTAATTTTTTTCCTGTTGATTATTTCAGGTCTACACTATGCCTTTCAATCCAATGGAAATTTCATTTAGAATGAGCTCAACTGGATCGACTGATGTGTTTACATGAAGATTTTTCAGTCCAGATATAAAGTGATTATTTGGGTGCTTGTAAATATAGCTATGGTTGCCTTTTGTATTTTTAATCTAATTTTCAGCTGGCATAGGGTGTCTTGAAATTGGGCCTTGGTGAGTCCATGTGCCAAAGCTACTGACGTGTATCTGCTCCGCTTTTCGAAATCCTCTGATTGGTTTATTGGATCAGTTAGTTAGAAAAGCCTGTCAGCATGTATGATACTTTAGGGAAAAACCGGGAGAGCAGTGACGGGATTTAGCGCTCACCGGGAACATCGGGGTCACGAGTCCACTCCATGCTCATACAAGCTTCTTTTACAGCATGTGTTTATGCTCTGATCACCATATATAAGCACAAATAAAAGAGGACGTGAGGGACACACAAAGAGTACAAAACACTCACAGGATGCTGTGTTTCCTCCCACCATAGGCCGGGGTTTAAGGGCTAGTCATGTGACGCGGGGAACGTGTTGGTGGTCTCGCTGAATCCCCCCCTTCTCTCTTTCACACTCTCCCCCATCGTCTCCACCCGTTCCCTCACCCCTAACCACAATGCAGCTCGACCTTCAGCCTAATTGGGCTGCAAGGGAGGAGAGATGGAGCGAGGGGGGAGGGAGAGAGGAGGCCAAGACTGTTGTTTTATTTTTTAGGAAGATTCCCAAGACTCAGAAGGGTAGATACTGCTTAAGCAAATGACAAAGGCCTTTAGTTAGAAGACTTCTATCAGTGCATACATATAAACACACACACACACACACACACACACACACACACATACAAATGATGGTTCAAAATTGAAAAGTACAACAAAATTCCAAAGTGGCAAAATGGTTACGACAAGGGTTTATCATTGAACACAATGTTTTTACTGAATACAAGAGGGGTCCTAAAGTACTAGCATTTTAATGCCTTTTTTTGTTTTTAATGCCTTTTTTCATATTACCATCATAACAAATTAACTGGGGGAGGGGTGGGGGAATAAATAAATAAATAAATTAAATAATTAAACAATTTCAGGATTTTTCAAAAAGTATTTTGAATAAATATGAACTGAATTTCTATTATAAATTTACGATTCTCAGTCCGAACCCCAGACTATATCTGCCAGAAATCATTATTGAAAAAAAAACAATCTTTTACGTTTTAAAACGTATACAAATGCAGATTTTATTATTTATTTATTTTTGAAATGCTAGGATATGGTGACACATCGGGGCCCATGAGGGAGCGGTGCAGATAGGACAGGAACTCAGTGTTGCAAAACTCCAGCTGCAGCATGAAGTTCTGCTTTCTTTTGGCTAGTCATTGCCATTCTACAACCTTAAGACTTTGCTCTAACAGACATTTACAAAAACATTTTACAAAAAATTATTTACTTTTCATTCTCCCTGCCCTGATTCTACCAACTTCTTTTCAATATTATCTGTCTCTTTTATAAAATGCAACTGTGCAGTGCAACAAAATCATACTGTTCATCCAATTACAAGGACAGATGATTTTTTCCCTCCTTTTCTGGAAAACAAAACAGTTGTCTGTCTTTCATAACACACCTCAATAAATTATTTAATTCACCTCATCTTATGTCACTGATCAGCCATATAACATTTTAAAAATCTTAACTGCATTGTAAAGCCACAGAAAACTTAAATTAAAATTAAATTAAACTGAAATAATATATATATTACATAAACCAAACAGTTCAAACAAACCTTTGAACTGATCAACAAACAAAGACAATGAGTAACTCTGGGAGATATTTCTGTCTGAATGAAACTCTGATACTCCATAGGTTGAATACCTCAACAGTACATGTACTGACATTCATTCATGCAAGGCTGTGTGTCTCTCAAACATCACAAGAGCAGGCAGAGCTGGCAGTGTTAAGTTAACCTTAGACGATTTACACGGATGCTGAGAACATCACATGAAGACACCATCATGCCATTTACAATTTACACATGGAATGAAATACTGAAGAGATCTGTTTTGTTTTGATTTTTTTAGTTATATATAATATATATCCACACTCATACCACGGTTCACAAACTTCAAGATATTTAACAACACCACCACCAGAGCTTTGATTGGCTGTTCAATCAGAACCTCCCCCCCCCATACATTCATTCTTTCATTATTTGCAGATATACTAATGATCTATTTATTACAGAAGTCAATAATTTACAATAAAATAACAATTTTAGTTATTCAATCGTCTTGCTTTTATACTACAGTAATCGTACCCTGTTCGTCCCTCAGAGATCCGCCTCGTCTCAGCTCTGATTATAGAAAGGGCTTCAAATTCTTCTGGAAAACTTTGCCGCATTGGTAGAGGGGTTGCCGCTCACAGCAAACACATTTAGTCCAATAATGCAAGGGTCACGTAGATGCTCCGGAGCTTAATCCCAGGCAATGACATCTCAAGTTTTCTCGAAGGGTTTTCAGTTAAACATGCACCTTAACATGGACATTAAACCAGGACTACAACTTCAGTACCAGCACACACACACACACACGCACAAAGGAGAAAAACTGCATATTTAAGACATACAAACTCACAAACTGAGACTGCCTTCAAAACTCGTTTTGGGGAGCACCCTCAAAGAAACCATTTAGAGAATACTATTGGACTATTTAACGGTGTGACAGCGTTTTCCTTCCATTTAGTCAGAACGTGTTTAACCAAATACAATACAAATATTTGTATACGAATACAAAATGGTATAGACATCTGATCTTATAGCTTCATATGGCAAATTCATGACCTCTGTAAGCAAATTGTGTATATAAAGCCACAGTATGACCGTATTGTATGCTCACCTTTGGAAATTAATCCCAATATATTTCATTATTTGGGACTTGGTAAACGCCACTACGTAAAAATCACACATTTAGATCGCTCTTCCAACTGAAAACATGAAGGATGTTGCCATGAGTTCAGTTTTTATCGGGGGTCTATGTTCTGTACTGTTTTTTTTTCCAACCCATCAGATTTCAGATTAGTTTTTAATCTGAATATAACTGTCCAGCTCCAAAACGTATATGGGAAAAAAGTTTCCCGAAAATATTGCCTCAGCAACCATTTTCATCTCTCTTCCCCTCCATAATCTCTTGCTACATTCCTTCCTCAAGCTCTCATTTGTGTCAAATTGGAGAAACTTTGATTTAGTGCAAAATGCTCTGAAAATCCTTGATTTTTAAAAAGTATGAGTCCACCTCTTTACAATTCTGAGAGGCATCAAGTGTGGAGGTTGACGACATGAAAAAACGCAAGACTGAAAACACAACAGCACTGATGAGACAAAAGGGTGCGAAAGTGATTAAAAAAAGAGAGATAATCAGAGCTCAAATTAATTAAAAAACATTAACAACAATAAAAAATAATAAAAGGACAAAAAGAAACCCCTATTGATCATTCCAAAACTTTCTTGTCTAATGCTTCTTTGCCATTTGTCCGCGAGTAGGGCTCAAATGCGGACGAGCTCAGGAAGCGGGCAGAAAGTTCCTGCAAGTTCCCCGCGAGGGATCCAGCCATGCCAAGCGGGGTGGAGGAGATGCGTGAGGCGACTGACCCGAGCAGAGAGGGCATAGGGAAGCTAAACAGCCCATGGGCAGGCGAAGATCCCTGCAGCCCTGTGACTGTCCCCGAACTGGTCACCGCTGGCAGCGGCGGGCTCCCCCCGGCTGTGCCTGAGCTGGCGGCACTGCTGCTACTGCTGCTGGAGGAGCCTCCATTAGCGGTGATGCCCAGAGACGGCCCACGCAGGGCTGAGCCTAGCGACGAGCTCCCGCAGTGGGGCAGCAACCCTGGCAGGCCTGGGGGAGTGAGGAGCCGGCCCTGCTCCAGGAGACGCAGGACGCTGCAGGTGGCGGCTGTCTCAGAGACCACGGAGCGCAGCTCTGAATCCTTGCCCTGATCCTTCTTCTGCTTAGTGCGACGATTCTGAAACCACACCTTTACCTGTCGAAGGAACGATAGAGAGAAATTAGCTTAAAATAGAAAACAACAAAGCAATATAATATGGAGAATACCGTAAGCTTGCATAATGCTACTATTTATTCAAACTGGTTTAAATGTTAATTATTAATAAATAAATGAAAATTAAATAAGATAAAGTTTAAAAAGTAAAACAATTATTTGATTTTTAGATACCATGAATTATAAAGTCTATTAATAGAGACAACATTAATTAAAATGCAATTAAATTGTGTATATATAAATTAATCTAATTAAATAAGCAGTGGTAAAGTTTAATTCTTAATGCACCAATTTAATATGTATTTTGGCACAGTAAAAAAAAAACGTGGGCTAAAATTAAATTGAAATTTTAAAAGTGTAAGTTAAACTTATTTTTTAATTAATTTAATTTAAATAAAAAGGGTAATTGTAAATAAAAACCTATATAATGAACAAAAACATGCACCTATTCTTTTGAAAAACACCGCAACACGAGCTCCTTTTGCAAGGACGGATGGATCAATACTGTTTTGAACCACATAATTGTACTGTATCCATTTAATTTAGGATTACAAAGAAAGAGGAATGGCAATTTCCAGATAATACATGTTTAGATCAAGTTCCGATGGCAGAACAAAATCATAATATATATATTTATTTTCTATAGAGAAAAGGAGGCCCACTTTATATTTGTTGTACTTAAAATGATTGATAATAGCTTCAGAGGAATAAGAACAATGAAGTATGACTAACATCTCAGAATTGTGTCAAGCAGTTTAACTGTCACATTTACATTAAAAAAAACACATTAAAATTACCATCTTAAATGCATCACAATTAAAAGTGTTTTACTATTTAAATATCTCGTGATAGATCAAGATTATTAAATAAAGAATAAGCTGCTGTATTTTCAAAGCTGTTAGTTACATAAGTGCATGCCTTAACAGTTTCATCAGTGTTGTAATGGAATGCTAAATATTGAGTTATCATATTAAACCTGCTATTGTCTCTAAAGCACTAAAATAAAGCACTAAAGCGGATACCATGAACCGGAAGGTCACAAAAAACATTGAGTTACGAGCAATTCCACCTTATAAAAACATAATATTTTCCCCTCTAGTTCTCCATGCATTCTTGACTACCTTTGAGAAATACAAAATGCATTGCTGGTACACTTTCACAAATTTCCTTGTTTGATCTTTCCACAGAACATTTAGTGTTTCAGAACACAATGTTATTTTCATGAAGCCGTCATTAAGGTGCACTTCACCATCTTTATCAGGCGGCCAAGAAGAGACACGGGAAGCTTTAATGTAATCAAGGCATGGATTTGAACTGCACTGCAGCATGGGGCATTAGAGAGGGCATTAGTGAAGATAATTTCTTGTGCTCCCTGTGTTAGCAGCACTGATCTGCCTCAGGGCTTTAAATGTCTTAATTTCACCCCACAGGACAGCAGAAGAATTTTAAAGTCGTTAGTGGGGTGATGATGTGATAGAATGTGACACAGTTCAAATGGTCAATAGAATTAGAAACGTTGAGACAGCATTGTTGGTTTGCAGGTGTTCAGGGTATTTAATTCGGGGAGCCCTGATCAATATATGACTGCAATATTGAGTGTTAAAATGAGAAAAAGCAGCTCTATATTTTTATATCTTATATTTCTTGTGAGCCATCATGTCTTTTTTTTCTTAATAAATGAAGTACTTGGTCCTGCAAGCATGTGCTATAATGAACATGTTCACTAATGAATAAACAAATAAAAATGTGGATTCCAAAATTAGCCTTACTATTGCAGTCAGAGATTCCCCGCGCTGCAGATTATCCAGGGAGACACGTAGAGAGAGAGAGAGAGAGAGGGATAAAACGAAGCAGAGAGAGAGAGAGAGAGAGAGAGAGAGAGTGCATGTACAGTTCAATCATGTAATCTCAAGCTCGTGACCTCTTGCTGACCCCTGCGCAAAGCATGTGCCGCAAATGCATCGCTGGGCTTATTTTTGTAAAGCAGGCCTTTATGTCACTAACAAACCATCAAACTATTGCACTGATGGCGAGGGCAAAAAAAAAAGGGAATTATCCGGGAAAATGTCAGGAAGATGTGATCGGATCGCTGATGTTTTAAGTGGTCTGAAGGGATGCCACCCAAAATGCAAATTAAATAAATATCAAAATCATAATAATAATAATAAAATCATGTAGTCAGAACAACCTGTTACCAGGTAACTATGTGTCTTTTAATTGTACAGAGTATCAACAATACATTTTATGATTATGCACCAGACATGCGTCACAAGGATAAATATGTTTTGGGAGAGCCAAATTTGTGTGATACATGTTTGTGATTATTAATATTATTTTTTTTAATTGCTGATTTCAATAGTCTTTATAATGATTGAATTTGAATTTGTAATTGTATTAGTGTGTATCGATATGTACATTTGGGTGTGTACCTGAGTTTCAGATAGGTTAAGTTGTCGGGCAAGTTCGGTTCGTTCTCGTCCCACAACATACTGGCATCGCTGAAACTCCATCTCCAGTCTGTACAGCTGTTCTGCTGTGAACGAGGTCCTAGTACGCTTTGGTCGGTCTAGATCCAAACCCTTGGGGAGAATAATCTCTCGAATCGAACCTTTGGCATCTAAATGTGATAGGAAAAATGTTTTCAGCAAATTGTCATACCTACTGTAAGATTATCATTAAAATATCTGTTCATTCAATTAAAAGAAATTATTATATCATAAAAACATGCCAAAAGTGATTTCTTTTTGAGAAATTAATATAGGTAGTCATGGAAAACATTTGTAACATTACACAGTTTTTGTGGCTAAATAACCAACAAAACATATGACATTTTTAATTAATCAAGAAATTATTTTCCTCCACAAGCTGTTAAAAATGTCACAGTTTTGTAGGTATATCATGGCACATAAATGCTAAACAAATGCCAGACTAGACTCTTATTATTTTAGTAATTAAAAACTAAAAGTTTCTTATTTAAAATAGTAACAATTTATCATGTATTAAACAGTGTTGACTAAAATAAAAAAGTTTAATTAAAGCTCAAAGAATATTTCAAATTTTAAAAAAAAACTTAATTTAAAACACAAATACACAAAAAGGTCTGACAAATCATACTGCACAACAATTTTCTATTTTTCTGTCTTTTGCATATTAGTTATAAATATTTATAACGGGTCTTCTATCTCTGAACAGATTAAATGATTACTAAAAATGTTTACTAATCAAGTATTTAATAAAGTGCATAAAAACAGGGAGATAAATGCATGATTTAAAAATGAAAGAAATATTTAAGAAATACACCAAACATGTTAGCTGATTAATCAAAGTAATTATTTTTGTTGTTATTTGTGTCTTTGTGATGTGCAGAACCATGCTCCAGCATTATTAGTAAAATTTGAAGCAATAAATATACTCTTTAAAAAATTAGTTAAGCTTTGTGACAACTTCAAAATAACTTAAAACACACACTGGTCTCCATAATTATTCAAATCCAGATACTAAATAATTGTATTGGCTGCTGAATTGTGACTGAAGAAATTACACAATAATTTCATAAGGTTAATTTGCTCGTATTTCAGCAGGCCTCCGAGTCTGCCCTAGATTTATCTTCACAACCTAAATAAATTAATGGAGCTGATTGCGCTCCAAAATTTCACAATCAGCTGACACAAGCAGGAGGGGCTTCACAACTATGTTAGTAATTTAATACAAATACAGACAAACAGCTTTTAGTCAAATTGTCACAAAAACATAATAGCTTTTTTAAAAAAAAACTTAATGTGAAATATGATTCATTTACAGATACATTTCTGTGCATCTCAATGATACTGTTTAAGGAAAAAAAGATGTATCTTCATTAAATACTTTAGTAAAAGAAGCAATGTAACAGAATGCTTAAAAAGTAACAGAATGCATAATGTTTTTTGATGATGGACAAAAAGCATTGAAGCTTATATATATATATATAAAACAGAGATGATAAGACCATCTAATGATAACTAACATAATCAGCTATGCAAAAAAAGTTACATTTTTCATTATGTATAAAAATAACTAAATTTCTTAAATCCCTCAATCACAGAAACTGTAAAGAAATAAAAAATTCACAATCATTTTGTACAGTGCTAATTATTTTCCAGACTGGATAATTATTCTATTTATTTTAGTGTTTTTGTCCATAATGGTAATACATATTTGAACTTATTCGAAATAGCATTTTCTAAATATTTGCAATTGAGAGATTGGATCATAAAGCTATGACACTTCATAAGAGCTGACAAAATAACGATCATACATTTTTTCTTCAATACAAAACCAATTTAGTCCTGTTCTCAATGCAGCATAGATCAATTTGCACCATGTACACTTGTGCATGCTCAAATCTATACACACTCACTGCTGGACGAAAAAAACCCTAAACTAAACTAAACCAGCGACTCAGAAGAACTATCACAAAAAGCTAAATTAAAAGTTCCCATTAAGTCCATTTCCTGTTTATTTTTGTGGAGTACAAAATGTACAAAAAGCTCCACAGGAGTGTTTTTAAACTTACCCCGAACTAGAATCCTCCGGCAGTAATCAGGATCTGCTGAGCTCGTCCGGCTCTTTTCGCAGTTTTCCACCGGTTCGGATGGAGAGAAGGACTCCTGCTGGTCCTTCAGGAACGTTTTTGAAATGTTCCCCTGGGAATCCTTTCCCTCTTTCCCCTCTTTTAGTCCATTCTTCAACAACATTCCGGACTCCGAGTCTTGGCTGTAGCGGACTTCCATAGTCTCTTATCCTCTGCGAAGATTTCTCCTTCTTTTTCTCCTTGTTGGGAAGAAATAACTATTTGAGTATGGACACACACGGCTTATTCTGGGTAATACAGGTTTGGTCTTTCTGTAAAACAGCAGCTTTGAATTGAAGTCAGATAGCTAATGTGCCACCAGCACTTTCCTGGTCCACTGATCTGCCCTATTATCTCTGTGCAGACTCACTTGCCCAATGATCATAGACTTCTCACCCAAATTCAACAGCAATTTAACAGCTCCTCTCCTTGTGACATTCACATCAGGCTGATCTCCGGGTAATCAGAGCTGTGGACGGACGCATGCTCGCCGCTTCAATTGATTACGGTAATTTAGCTGCCTCCACATTTGCGTAACCTCATGAATACTCTAAATTGTTTGGGAAATGCACATTGTCCTGATAGAGGGGTCCACTCACTCCGACCCCCCTCTCTGCCCTCATGCGCACAGGATCAAGGGAGATGATTTGACTCAAATCGCCACCACGCACAATCACCGAGCCAAAGGACCACCAGAAAAGTTCCACTTCATTCCTCGATGCCTTGGCACAGGCCGTTCCCCTTCTCTCAGGCTGTAGATGTTTGGTTGGGCTAACTTTACGAGCAGGTTGGCGAATCTCCCCCCGGATAATGGCCCGGTACCACACGCTGCACCCTTGGAGCTAATACAAGCAAAGAGCGAAAAGAGAGAGAGGGAAAGACCGGTGGAGAGCAAAGAGAGCGAGAGAGAAAAAAAGAACGAGGGAGGCGGAGAGACCTGGAATACGAAAAAAAAAACGGAATCCACTTCGCTCGGAATCTGTAGTGGTAATGAACACGGATTCACAAAAGAAAGAGATGAACACAAGGGAACTCTGTCAAGCTGGGGACGGTGTGCAACAACCACCCCGAGTTACCCAACACCTCTAATACCCCAAACTGGACGTTACGGTAACTCAGCCCCCTTATCCTACAAGAAACCTGTTAAAGCACTGCTAAAAAACTCAACCTGCCCGATATCCCAATGCTAACACCCAAAGCAACCCCCTCCTCCTCTTCTCTCCCACTCCTTCCACACTACTACACACCCACCCACTCAGTCTCGCCTATTTTCATTGTCAACGCAACAATATCTGGGGGAACAGCAGTGGTCTGTAATCCAATAAGACCATTGATTAGGCTACAATGATTCAATTCAAGCCAATGGTTGAGAGCAGGGAACAGGCTCGGACCCTTCTTGTCACCTTGCAGGGCCAGAGGCCCTCTTCATGCTGAACTCCCCCCCTCCTGAAGCCATTCAGTCCTTTATGGGAAACGGAGCGCAAAAGGAGTGAAAGATGGCAATTATCTAATTGGACTATTAACAAACAATTCTGTGAGTGTGTCTGGTAGGGAGCAGAAGAGGATGGGGAGGGGGGTGCTGGACTAACTTCATTTAGTGAGTGTGTGGGGCAGCCTGTTGGAGAGAGGGAAAGGTTGTTTAAAGAAAAGATGAGAGGGAGGGATTTTTTAAAGAAAAGGTAAGAGGAGGCAACGAAAAGGGGCTGCAGGGGCAATGGGGCAATGGGGCAATGGGGTGATTCTGCGCAGAGCTTGGGAATAAGAGTTCGGTGGGACACACACCAGCTGTGGTCTGAGACGTTCCAGGTCGACAAAAGATGAAGATGTCCTACACGGAGACTGTGGGACACTAAACTGTCTTGGTACAGAGCCATCTTCAAATATCTGTTGCTTTTTAAGATTGTTGGTCATGTATAATCCCTGTTGAAAAGAACAACATATGTTAGGTTAGGGATGCGGGTTTCCTACCATGGCTTAATACACTAATATGCTCTCTTAAGTTACTAATATAACTAATACTAATAACTTTTAAGGAACTAATATGTACACTTAAGTTATAAATATCAATCCTTAAGGAACAGAAATGTAACCTTAAGTTATAAATTATATATTAGTAACTTAAGTGTAAATGTTAGTACCCTTAAGGTACAAATATGAATCCTTAAGTTCTGAAAATCAACCGTTAATTTATTAACATGAACAATTAATATATAAATATCAACTGTTAAGATACTAATACATACATTCGAGTTACTTATATCAATCCTTATAATCTTAACCCTTAAGTTGACCCAACAAAAAACAAACGAACACTAGCGTTCTATTTTTCTATTCTATCTACTTGTTTTTCTTTGTGTGTGTGTGTGTGTGTGTGTATAATGTGTATGTACATATATGTATATATAAATAAATAAATAAAAGTTACTAATATCAGCCCTTAAAGTACTGAAATATACCCTCAAGTTACTAATATCAACCATTAAGGTACAAGTATACTTTAGGGGTAGATAAGGCACAGAGCTGTCTCTTTGAGGGTACTGCCCCACTGACAAGCTATAAGTAGGCTATATATTTTCAAAATATTTTTTTGATAGTACAGGTGTGTGAACTAGCTCAACCAGCTAGAACCACTTGGTCAACCTGTTTCCAACATGGCTGATCAATATGAATAAAATGCTTATGCTGGTCCAATAACAAGATGGGCACCAAACCAGTCATCTTAGACTGCCATGGAAATTCAATTCTCGTTTAAGCTGGTGGGTTCACCAGGTTAACAACCAATCTACACTCTTAAAAATAAAGGTTCTTCACGATGCCATAGAAGAACCTTTTTGTCTAAATGGTTCCATAAAGAACCTTTAACATCTGAAGAACCTTTTTGTTTCACAAAAGGGTCTTTATGGTGAAATAAGGTTCTTCAGATTACTAAAAGTTAAGAAAGAGATGGTTCTTTAAAGAACCTTTGACTGAATGGTTCTTTGTGGAACTAAAAATGGTTCTTCTATGGCATCGCTTGAAGAACCTTTTGAAGCACCTTTATTTTTAAGAGTGTAGGTACTACAAATGTAGGAAAAGGCTTTTACTTTAGTTTATTTGGGTGATTTTTATTTTATTTTTATAAGAAAGTAGAGTGTAGTGGTGGGAGGAGAATGGGACTGGACTCAAACCTGGAGCAAGTACATGGTCCACTGAACCTGACATGTCAGGAAATGTTTGACCCTGCAGTCATGCAAATTACTCATCAACCTTTTGATACTTATAAATATTGCAAATAGTTCAGTATAAAGACAAATTTCACTGGATTTTCATTGGTCTCAGGGACACATTATCTGAAATCAAACTGCACTGATAGCATCTGAAGCCTCACTAGACCCAACAATTTAGTGATTTGTGTTGGAAATTAACATCCTGACCTTCAGTTTTGCCATTCTGTCATTAACAAAAGAAGTCATAACATTGTGAAATGCTAATATTTTCAATATGGCATTTTTTGGGCTTTCATACATTTTTTCCACATATTTCTGTGTGAAGGTTATTCAGATATGCCCTAATGAAGTAGCTGTGAAGATCCCAGAACAAAATGAGTGCTGTTTCCTCTTCCTTTCTGTTTGTCTCTATTGTGTCACTGCTGGTAAAGCCTCCCATCTGAGGGTAAGTAAAGCCCACAGTGTCATAATGGCAAAACTCACCCACCTCATTTATTTAGAGACAACAAAACACTTCAGCGTCAAAAGAGAAGAGGGACAAAGACGAGATGGGCGGAAACACACATAGACAGAGACAAAAAGACAGATGGTGAGACATATCAATAGATAAATAAGAAACAAGGCATGACATGACAATACCTGAATGAACTCCTTTTGAGTTTGGGCGATGCAGCATGTGGGTTACGCAGCTATCAGAACTCCAAGATTTTGCAAACCTCCTGTGAATTTTGGAAAAACAAAACAGGTGTGTATAACAATGATGGCAAAGGTCAGAACTATTGATCACCACTTTCATGTTAAATATAGAATACCTGCTTCATAAAATGTCTCTGTGGGTATTTACTGTATGAATGCCTGAAACTATTCAGACTCCTATAATTCAACATTCATGAAATTTCAGAATTATTTATTCATTCATAATTCAGACAAAAACAGATGAACAGTAAAGCAAAACATTATGCATTCCAATATGCATCAATATTCTGGCCTATACTGATAAACCAATCAAATTTTAAGATTAGGTTTTAGTTTTGCTATTTGTTTTATTTCAATTTATTTTAGTTTAGTTTTAAAGTTACAGCGAAAACCAATAAACGGCATAATGAATTAAATTCTATACTATTTTACTGAAAATATTCTAAAATAAAATAACAATACATTTTCTTTAAAATATTATAAAATAAAATAATAAAAATTGTAAATTAAATAAAACACAAAATATCAGATTTAAATGTTGTAAGTGAACTATATACAAAAAGTGGCATTTAATAGTGTTATCAAATTATTAGCGTTTTAAAGATTTGCTTTAAGTAATCATTAAAAATTAGCATGCACAACTAAATATCAATTTTGGCAAATAAAAAAACTCTAATATTGACTGTTAAACCGATATGATATTGATATACTTCTCTAATAACTAATTGATCGGTTTGTAAAACTAAATCACAAAACTAACTGGTCAGTGTCTTTGCCCCCATTAAATAAAATGAGCTAATATAAAAAATAAAGCAACCAAACCTAGGTGCTACTCATTACTCATACAGTAAAAGGAATCCCCATGTTTCAACAAAAAAACCTTGAATTATATTACTGTAATAGGGTAAAACATACATCACACACAGATCCCACTCACCACCCCCAACTAACACCAGTGCATTCTTATTCCGCTAATACACCCATTACCAGACAAAGTGTGTTTTGGCTGTAAAAGAGGCCGAGGGGGAGAGACTTGAGTCCTATCTTGCTCTTAATAGCTCATTAGTAGAGCTAAGCAGGCTCTCTTCTGTATCGCTAGCACCTTTATTCTGCTAATGTTCCTTGTACCTCTTTCTGCCATCTACAACGTGTCAAATGTATATGGAGTAAAAGTAGAGCCAAAACCTGGGAACTGTTTCAAAACATACCATGCTACTACCAGAGAGGGGCTGATAAACAGTACAAGGAGAATTAAAAGGAATGAATTCAAGAGAGGTATTTGTGTTTACTGGTTGAGTGCATTTTTGTGTTTTTAAGGGGTCTCTTTAAATTGGGTACGACGATATAAAGTATAGTGCTTTTTAATCAGTAAAGTAGCATTTTTACAGCATTCTAAGATATATCTATCTGTCTATCTATCTATCTATCTATCTATCTATCTATCTATCTATCTATCTATCTATCTATCTATCTGTAGATTTCAACAAAAAAATCTGTAGAAAAATGGAAAAGTTACTGAAAATTTTCGTCCAGGACATGTGACATTTCCTTTAATCCTAAAATACATCAAATCCATTCTGTAATTCAAAATATGGGTAAAAATCTGTGAAAATCAATACAGAAAATTATTTCATATTAACACAGTACACTGGGCCCTGTTTCTACAGACTTTTCTTACTGTAGTCTGTGTATATACACAATTTACATTTACAAAATACATAAATTTAAGTGCAAATTACTAGAAAATATTTTATAAATTAATATTTATATAAATGATATGATACAGCATATTTTTCTCATTTCAGTAAGATACTATATATGCTGCAAAAATAACAAATTTAATCAAATATGCTATAGCTGATTGTGCATGTGTATAAAATGTGTATTTATATAATCAATAAACCAAAAATGATTTGACGTCTGGTACTTTCAGGCAGGTCATATATTCATTGTTCTCACTGTTTTACATGCAATGTCTCAAAAATCGTAAGAGGTTTGTATATTCGCAAGGATTAGACACAGACCTTGCTGTTTTCCAACGGAAGTGATTTTCAGATAATTGTTCTGGAGGGCATGTTGTCAATGTTTCCTCTCTTTCTCTTCCATTCTGTTACCTAAAACCTCTCATTCAGATTTAACAAATCAATTCCATCTTTCAGCCTCTGCTCTCCTGTTCAAAACAGTGCTAGCAACCATCTTCAAATCATAATAGACCATATAATACTAGCAGAAAACCCCACCAGCTTCATCTAAGTGTGTCAGTCTGACCAGAAGTTTTTCTCTCTCTGTGTGTGTGTGTGAGAGTGTTAAGCACACAGGCTGAGGTTTCTCATCAGAGCACATTTTGTGAGGGTCTAATGTTCGGTTTCAGAGCCATTACAGGTGGAGCAGGAGGGGTGTTTGTAGCCATGGTGCTCATCTTTGAGACAAAATCACAGACAATCACTCCAATTTCAGTTAAATGAGCTGGGCTGCAAAGAGAGGAGGAATTTGCGTTTTTAGTTTTCTTTTATGTGCAACAAAAGCTTTAACAAAGGCAAACATGGTCTTGTAAAATTAAATTGTAAAATTAAAAAGTACAGTCATTTAAAGTTTTCCTATGCCATCTAAGGAAAAAATTATTCGAAAGAAAAACACATTTAATCGTCTAAACAAAGAAACTGTAAACATTTTCATGAACATTTAATGATTTTCTTTTCTCTTTATACAAAGAAAATCAAGATATTTGCACCAATAAATGCATGTTATGTTAACTAAAAATAATAGATTTAATTAATTTCCTGACAAATGCAGAAATATTATGCTCCCAGTGGGACAATCTGCAGTTATAAAATGTAATTTAGGCTTTTTATGATAAAGATCTCCCTTATCCCTCCACTGTTCAACTTCAGCTTGGTTTCAGGATTTCATCCACAAAGCTCTATTAGGAGCATCCTAAAGACCTCAATCTGTTACAGCAGATGATTTGCAGGTGTGGGTGGCATTCTGGGACAAGGGGATCTGTATGTGAATGAATCGGACAGTGCTAGAGTGATTCAAATAGATGCAGTCAATACAAAGTCTGGTTAGGACACCTTCACTGCACACACTGAAATCTCAGGTGTTTCCTAAGGTTTCTTTTAGTGAAGAACGTGATCAAAAGCTGGGAACACATACCGTGAGTAGGCTAACATGCCTAGACATATTTCAGTTAAAGTTTTCCTATGCCATCTAAGGAAAAAATTATTCGAAAGAAAAACACATTTAATCGTCTAAACAAAGAAACTGTAAACATTTTCATGAACATTTAATGATTTTCTTTTCTCTTTATACAAAGAAAATCAAGATATTTGCACCAATAAATGCATGTTATGTTAACTTAAAATAATAGATTTAATTAATTTCCTGACAAATGCAGAAATATTATGCTCCCAGTGGGACAATCTGCAGTTATAAAATGTAATTTAGGCTTTTTAGGATAAAGATCTCCCTTATCCCTCCACTGTTCAACTTCAGCTTGGTTTCAGGATTTCATCCACAAAGCTCTATTAGGAGCATCCTAAAGACCTCAATCTGTTACAGCAGATGATTTGCAGGTGTGGGTGGCATTCTGGGACAAGGGGATCTGTGTGTGAATGAATCGGACAGTGCTAGAGTGATTCAAATAGATGCAGTCAATACAAAGTCTGGTTAGGACACCTTCACTGCACACACTGAAATCTCAGGTGTTTCCTAAGGTTTCTTTTAGTGAAGAACGTGATCAAAAGCTGGGAACACATACCGTGAGTAGGCTAACATGCCTAGACATATTTCAGCAGTTGGTTAATTGAGCCTAAAAGTATCCAGTATCTAAAAGTAGCCAGGAAAGAGAAAACTGGTTTACAAAAATGTGGAGAACGGAAATAGACCTTGATCACATTTGCCACTGTGTTTCCACAGTGTTTGTGGTGACATTTTGCTCAGTTCCCTACAGTTAAGCGACTGACGCCATCTCCTGTTGGCATAACGACATCGCATGATAGTGACAAGGCTAGTTGTCATTTTTATTTACTCCGGTAATTATTTACAGTAAATTCATTTCAAGTTAATTCATGTGTAGGCGCATACCTTACAGTTTTGGCTACAAATTCCACACACACAGGCCTTGTCTGGTCTTGTTTATGGCGAAGACTGCATCCGTTTGGATTGTTACTCAGCTGAAGAACACTTACCTCCTTGATCCTCTCTTCGTCCCTGTTTCCAGTCTCCTACTCCTCTCCTCCTGTTGATCTTCCTACAAGACAACAGGTAAGTGTTTAGTATCTCTCAGTGACTGTTTAATAGTGTGTGTGTATGTGTGGCTACTCACAATTCATCTCCCATCTCCATTATCCTCTGCTCATGCTGCCTGTGATTTCATTCAGGTCCATTAATAAAGTATTTTGAATAGTTTTGTAAAACTTTCCAGTCTGTCCAGTGTGTGTTTCCCTGACAGGTGAGAGGAGGGTGAATATGTGGTCATATGTTCAAAATGCAGGTGGAGACAAACTGAACTATTAGACACTGTCCTAAAAGAAAGACAGGAATTAGTCATTGCACAACTGGCGGAGTCAGTAATTGGTTGACTGTAACAGCACCTCTTTTGCATTGTAGTGCTGTACAATGAATTAAAATAAGGTGTACTTGCCCCGCCAACTGGCAACATACTTGTTTTTGGACACCTTGGGCGATACCTGCACACACACAAAATAAAAAACAGTGACAATACTGGCAATGATAACGTGTTGACACTGTTATGTAATTTATAGGTAAGTAATAGTCTTTTTATGGGATAAGAAAAAGAAAAGCGGCTGTTCTTCCAATCAAATGCTAAAAAAGAACAAAATAATAGGTGTAATGGATCATATCATTCTCATTTTCTATTTGTATTTAAATTGGCATGTTACAGAATCACAAAGAAATGGGATGTGATTTTTAATGAGTCAGAATTTTTTTTTGCAGAATAGGATAGCAGCCATGACCTTGCGAAATAGGCTTAAAAAGAGGAACAGCACTCAAGCTACTTTACAAGTTATTCCCAGACAGACCTAGACAGCCTGAACATATTCTTTTGGAGCAACCTTGCATTCATTGATCTGGGTGAATATCCACTTAAAATCTATTGAGAAATAAGTCAGCAAGTGAATGTGCCAGACTGAAATAATGCAACTTAATATAAGCAGAACATCAGACATCATTTTGGATATTAAAGAATAGAGATGACAAAACTTTGCAATATGAACACTTGCATAAGTTTAGAAATGAAACAGGGCGAATCATTGTGAGAGAGATGACAGCTTTACAATGTTTTTGTAGAATCAAATAAAAAATAATGTAATTGAAGAGGAATTTTATGTCAAATTCCCCTTCAGAGTGAATGTATGCTCTCTTCATATCAGTTCACTGCCATAGTATTCTATCATGTTCTGGCATGTCTTAGCAATATTTATGTGTTATGAAAACTGGCATTGTGGATGAAAAGGTTGACTTGTGACTTTATAAGCAGGATAACTAGCTTTTCAAGCTGTGCATACACCACCTTTGGCATTCACATGCATTCTCATTTGAGTTTCACAGGCAGCTGGATCCAGATCTCTGTGCAAACATTCAACAATGCTTAAGGTTAGCTATTTCCTCTTGGGTTTCTTTACATGATTGTAATTGAGATTTTTGTATAGAGACACTATTTATAACAAACTGAAGTTCTGTAGTTGTCATTTTTTACTTTGTTTTAACTGTCTATGTTAGTAAACAGTGTAGATCTTGTGATCTTAGATCATTTGTTGTACATACACTTTCGTAATCAAATTACATTATTTTTCAACCACTTCATTTTCTTTTTCTGGTTATTTGCTTTCAACAGAAAGAAGTCAAGCCATACTGGAATTTGTCAGTCAAAATCTTATATGCGAAGTTCCATCAGTCCTATGACTACAGTGAGACAGTTTGTCCTCTCAACATCAGCCAAATATATTCATTTACAAATTGTAATTTTCTTTTTAGCAGAAGTGTAAATTTTAAAGCAAACATGTCTAAACCTGTTTGCAGTTTTGATTTTAAAAAAAATGTGTCTCGGCTAGGTACACATGCCTATAATTCACTATGTAGTAGGGTGCAATCATTTTAATCTCAAGGTATGTGTCAGTAGATATAAGTATAATCCTTTGCCTACTTAACAGATTTTTAAAGGCATTTCTGGGCTTTCAAAAGCCTTCAGCCGTACAGTTTGACAACTAATACAACAGTAATCTCTCTGAGTGTACATGCATACAAATAAATCTATGTTTTATTATCTCAGCCAACTCACTAACTTTTCCAACCCTACCTCAATTTTTTCTTTAGTGTCTTCATCTGACTGTTATGTCATCCTAAACTTACCCACGGCATCGGCCCGTACAAATCGCACCAAGACTATCTCAAATAGCGAGAAACCTGAATGGAATGAAACTTTCACATTCAGGGTGCACAACAACATCAAGGTAAACCACTCAATTATTTGTCTGATCTTAGAATGTTTTATTATTTTATATCCTATTTCTAACCTCCCTTATTTATCTCTCCAGTAAGATGTGCAATATGAGCTCAAATATTTAATTACTCGAGTTTTTGCCTCATTAGAACCAAAAAATGTAATGCTACACTTTCACTCCTTACTTTTGTTCTCTATACACAGAACATTCTGGAGATCTTGATCTATGATGAGGATCCATTAATGAGGGACGACCATTGTGCCACTATCCTATTTGACATCAATAACCTCACACATGGGAAAAAGGAGACCAAATGCTTTATAATAAATGATAAGGTCAGTGCTATATAGAGATCTCATATCTAAACAGATATTACAACATAAAATGGACACTTAGTTGACTGAAAGCACTTGATATTTGATTTGTGACTATTACTTTCTTTCTCAGACCAAGGATGAACTGTGGGTAGAGTTTGAGATCACTAAGAGGTGAGTGAGATTGCCTTTAGCAGTTCTAGTGAGCATTTGCAAAAATAGATACAAGCAAGAACCTGTTGTACAGTCGAGTGTGCATGTCCATACACATACATCTGATCTAAGTTTCTGTTTTGTGTGTGTCTGTGTGTTGCAGCTCTGAAACACCAAGCCAATGTTTCTCTAATGGAGTTTTGGTGGTACAAACCTTTACTACAACTTTCTTAAATATATCATGGGTTACAGTCAGATTATTTAAAATAATGATTTTCTGATGTACAGTATAAGAAGGTGTCTTCTTAATAAGCTTCGGTTTTACTATAGGCTACATGCTCTTACCACTCTAACTAAACACTCAAAAATACAAAAACTTTATCAAATGAACTTTATGCTTTCTCTTGAAATAGGCAGGTCCTTTTTGTGAGCTGAATGTGGAGATAGACAAGCTTCTAAAGAAGACTGAAGGTAAATAGACATTTTCATCCACATTTCTCATGCAAATGCTTGGATATTAGATGGGTACTGGAAATTCATTGGTATTCAGAAATAACTGTAAAAGAAAAGAAAATGTTAAATTGCTCTATTCTATAAATTAATTTTGAAAACACGAGCAGTGTAAAAATGCAGTGTTTATTCTCTGTGTGTTCCAGCAATGCAGAACGTGGTTTTAAAACTGAAAGGGGCCTACAAAGAGGATTTCGCGATCTCAAATTCTGAGGAAAGTTCTAGCTTCCTGAAAACGTTACGTTACTACATCAACCGAGACCTGGAAACTGAACTCAATCTGACTTCTGAGAGTGTTATCAGCCCAGAAAATGTAGGTCATCCATGCCAACAATCATTCCTGACACACCTTGTTTATTGAAAATTGCTGTAAAAACTACCACATAAATTATATTACTTACTCATTTTTCATATTTTGTGCAACAGGAACAGTATGTATACAGTACTTCACATAAGGGCTTGTAGATTTATAAAGCACCTGAAACAAACAGAAAGTGTGGCTTTAAATGTTTGCTTAAACAAACATACTTTTCTCCAGGTTGGGACAGTAGTAGTGGATGCTGCTGTTTCAGACCCTGTAGACACTGGATTTACCCCTATCCCTTTAAAACCATTACCATCCAAACAACAGATTACGGTCTCTTTGCCTCTGGGAGAGGTGAGTTATTGATTCATTAATCGATTAAATCTAAATGTGACGCTCCAAAAATGGTTTATTGATAATATAATAACACATAATACTATACACTAATAGAGTAATATAAATTTCTCCCCATCTTTTCTCATAATTAATATATTAGACAAATCCTGTATTTATATTCATATATTATATTCATGTGTGCATTTGATCTAAAATGACCTGTTTTTCCTTTCCTTTTTTTTTCTTCAAAGAATAAAGTTGATCTGCAACTGAAAACGGATGATCGGTAACAAATCGTGAATTAATTCACATCTATCCTCAGTAGTAGTTTAATAGTAAATGATGATTAGAAAATATAAAATGAAACATTGTAAATTACAATGCTATTTATCAGCTTTTATTTCAAATCCATCCTAATCTCAGGATAAAAATGGTTTTGTGTGTGTTCTGAAGCTCTGCTGAAGAGCTGGATGTGCGCCTTGATTTTGATATCCCAGTGGAAGAAAAAACATTTCTGGTGAAGAGAAAAAAAGTCGTGTCAAAGGCTCTACAGAAAGCTCTGAATCTCAGCTCTGCACCTGACCCCAGCAAGGTACTTTAGCACAAATAACCCATATATTCAGCAAATAACTTAAGAGATTTTCCTACTGTACAATATGTACAGTAGAATTTTGATTCTATTGTTTGTATAGAATACAAATACCCAATAACAAATAGAGCAACATTTGAATCTGTGTTTGATGTGACTCCTCAGGTCCCAGTGGTGGCTGTGGTGTGTTCTGGTGGTGGGAGCAGAGCGTTAACAAGCACATATGGTAGCCTTAAGGGACTGCAGAAGATCCAGCTTCTTGATGCAGTCAGCTACATCACAGGGGTTTCAGGTGCCACTTGGTGAGAATGAGGAGTCTTAATGCATTTTTAAGCATGACTGATAAAAACCATGTGTGCTAGTCAGACTGAGAAAGTACAGTATGCATCAGACAGACAGCAAACAGATTTTAAGTAATTACAATTAGGTAAAAAATTAATAATTTGATGGGTTGCATCTGAATGAACAATTAGACTCTATGGTTGCTGCACCGTCATATGGAAAAAGAATTTGGAAAAATAATGTTTTTGTTCAATCTTTGTATTTCAGGGCTCTAGGCTCTCTTTATAGAGACCCTAACTGGTCAAAGGGTGGCATTGATAAGTCTATGGAGTCTGTAAAGAAGGAGCTCTCTAAAAAGGTGCTCAGTATGTTTTCCTCAGAGCAGCTACAGGAATACAAACAGAGGATGCAAGAGCGAGAGAAAGAAGGCCTCCTTGTGTCTCTCATCGACATGTGGGGTCTGACTTTAGAGTATCTTTTCCAAGGGAAGGTAAAAAAAAATTGTGTTTTCTGTCAGTTTTGGCTCTGTATTAAAATCTTGTGCACGATATAATAC